AAATTAACGGAGAGGTGGGATGGGGTAATTTGGGAAGGCTTTTAGCCAGGGGGGTCAGGACCTTTCAGCTCTGAGGAGGTGACACCTGAAGAGCTGGCCATAAGATGAGCTCAAGGAAGAGAATCCAGGCAGAAGGGACGGCAAGTGCAAAGGCCCTAAAGTATAGAGGAACTTGGCACGTTCAGAAACAAAGTGGCCGGTGTGGCTAGAACATGATGAGCTCAGAGGAGAGTAATCAGGTTGAAAAGTTGACTCCTGTCCCATCGCGCCTCCATTCTTACCCTCCCCCTCCCCCACTCCCCTGTGCCCTCCTGTGCTCACCATGACCTCCCCAGGAGACCGGCCGGTACCCTGCCTACAAGGAGATGGTTTCTGAATACTGTTGGCTGGATCGATGTAAGTAGCCAAGCCACCAAGGTTGGAAGGAAGGGGCTGAAATCTCTGAAGAATAAGTGGGCAGGGGCACCAAGGTCTCCTCAGGACTTTCACACGCCCAGAGCCGTTTATGGGCTCTCCTCCGAGAAGCTGCGGTTCCTTTACAGGCTCTCCTGGGGTCTGGAGTTGCAGGGGGTGGCTGAAGAAGTGACTTGCTTAAGGTCTCTCAACCAGTCAGTGGCGGGACGGCTGAGCAGCTGGTTCCCTAGACCCCATGCTTACAACCTTGCTGCCGCCAAGCCCACGGGTGGCCTGCAGCCCCGGCAGGGCCCCAAAGCCACCCGGCCGGATCGCTGAGACGCCCCTGCCCTCCCCACTGCCCGCAGTGAGCAACGGGGTGCTGCAGCAGCTGTCCCCCGCCTCGGAGAGCAGCTCCAGCGCCTCCTCGTTCGCCTCCAGTGCCCCCTACAGCTCGGCCGATGGCTGGAGCTCCCTGCCCTCGGACCACATGGATGTCTGCCTGGGGCCTGAGGAGCCGGGCAGCTGGGGGCCAGGCCGGGGGCGGGCAGACACGGCCATGCAGACGGAGCCAGACGCGGGGGGCCACGTGGAGACCTGGTGTAGCGTGCGGCCCACAGTCATCCTCAGGGACACGGCCATCCGTTCCGACGGCCCCCCGCCTGCCCCCCGCCTTGACTCTGCGCTCTCTGAGTCCCCCAAAACTGCTCTGCTCCTGGCCCTCAGCCAACCCCGGCCCCCCATCACCCGCTCCCAGAGCCACCTGACCTTGTGGGGTATGTGGGGGATGGGTGGCTGCTGCTCTCTCCAAAGCCCCTGCTCCAAAACCTGTCCCGCACCCTGCCCTGGGCCTCAAAGCTTCCTTTGCGCCAGGCTTTGCCCCAGCGCCAGCTGCAGAATACACTCAGACCCTGCTCTGGGCTCCATTTCAAACTAGTCCTGGGCCCTAAACCGACCCTCAGCCCCAGCCCCAGCTTTTCAGCCCTGGGCCCCAAACCAGCCCCTCCATCCTGGAGTTCCCAGCCCTGTCTACAGACAGACAGACACATGCACACACTCCTCACATAGTTGTAGCTGTGGGTGGGGGAGGGGTAGAAAGCTGAAAGAGGAACCCCAGCCCCGTGCTCATCCCCACCTCCCCACATGGCTGCAGATCCCGTCTGCCCCCTACTCTTCCTTTTCTCTGCCCCTCCCCACACCCCTGCCCCTCGTCCTTCCCTTCTGCCCACCCCTCCAGCCCCCCGGGTGCTCCCTCGTGTCTGCAGAGGAGAAGAAACAGCGGAGGAAGGAGAAGTCGGGGTCCCCCGGGGAGAAGGGGGCCCTGCAGCGCTCCAAGACCCTGATGAACCTCTTCTTCAAGGGAGGGCGGCAGGGGCGGCTGGCAGGGGATGGGCGCAGAGAGACCTGGACGCTGGACAGTGGGAGCACGGCCAAGTCCCGCCCCCACCCGGACCTGGAGAAAGGTAAGTACTGGGCAGGTCAGCCAAGCAGGACAGAAGGAAAGTCCACTCCGGCATCCAGCAGGTCTGAGCTTAAATCCCACACTGCTTCGTCCTAGCTGTGAGCCACCACTTCCCCTCGTGAGCGTCATGAGTGAAATGAGAGTAATAGTACCTATTTCTTTGGGAATAATGAGGAATAAGTGAATTAGTGTATGTTAATCACTTAGCACATGGTCTGACACACCGAAAGTGCTCCGAAAATATAATGGTCCTTGTTATACTGCCTCATCTTCCCATTTTACAGAAGGGAAAACTGATGAGAGTCACAGCATAGACGAGAAAGCCTTGGGTCAGATCCCCGTGCTCTTGGCACTGAGGAGAGGCAGGGCACTCCTTTCCTAGAGCATTTGGCTTCACCTCCCCTGGCCAGAGCTCCATAGGCTTTACCCAGTTCTAGAACCATCTTGAGCAAGGCCATTTGTAGATCAAGGGCCAGGCAGGAAGGCCTAGACAGGCTTCACTCATGTCAGGGGCTTCCTAAGGACACTTACAGAGGGTGTCTCATCTCTCTGGTGAGATTCAGAGACTGGACCAAAAGTGGATGAGTTGAGACCATAGGGGTTGCCTATAACAGAAACTCAACTCAAGCTATAGCTTTAAAAAGCGCTTCTTGGCTCAGCTCCTGGTGTAAGCTGGGTCTAAACGTTTAAACAATCTCCTCAGACATCTGCCCCCTTCATCTTCTGGTTCCTCTTTCCCCTGGGTTGGCTTCATTATCTTGCTGGCTTTGCCACTTGGAGGTAAGAAGGCCACTGTCGCTTAGCAACCCTGGGGAAAGAGCTTCTCCTTAAATAGTTCCAGCTTAAGGCTCTCATTGGCCCAGCTGGGATCACGCGCCCAACACATCACTTGTCATCTGGGAGAGAGAGAGGTGCTTTCATTGGCCAGCCTGGGTCATGTGTCCACCCTGGAGTACAGGGACTGAGAATGGGGTGGGGGGGTGGTCCCCAAGTAAAATCAGGGTGCTGTTTCCAGAGGGCAAAAACAACCAGGGGATGAGGGGCTGGACCTTGCCCCTCCCTGGGGTCTCAAGGTGACAGTCTCATGGGAGAGACAACCCCTTCAAATCAGGGCAGGCCAGCCCCCCCCAAAGCCATCTCTTTTTCCAAATCCCCCAGGGCCCTGCTCTCTCCTGGTTCCCCTCCTACTTCTCTGGCCACTCCTCTCCTTCAAAGGCTCCTCTTTTTCTCTCTGTCCCTTGAAGGTAGGTGATTTGCCCTTGGGGTTCTTCCCTCCATTCATTTGCTTCCAAATGAACCTCCATGAGCAGGGTGCAGACTTGACCCTCTCTTGATCCAAAGCCTTCAATGACTCCCCATTGCCTGTGAATGAATCCCTGGCCTGAGCATGGCCTTCAAGACCCTCCTCAATAGCCTGGCCTCTTGCTTCCCGGTCCTACCACCTTCCAGCCTTGAACACTCCATTCCAGCCAGTGATCCAGCCAGTCCTGAGCCCCCAAACCCCATTTTCAGATTGGGGACCAGGGCTGCAACTGAGTCTCTTTCTTCTTCATAGCAGGGGGAGTGGGATCCGTGCAGAAGTTTGTCACCTGGAGGCTGAGACGTGGTAATGCATGCATCCCTCTACCAAGCCTGGTTTACAGTAGAGCTGCAGATGGGGTGCAAATTGGGGGTAGTAACTTAGGGGCTTTGGGCTAAACTCAGTTGGGGTCAAGCATGGGGGATCAGACAGATAGGAAGGTACACACTGGGGGGCAGCTAAAAGAATTGGACTCTACTTTCTAAGAAAGATAGGGTTGCAGACAGATATTGGGGTGCATTTTTGAGGAATGGGAGCTTGAGTTGGGTTTCCCCAAAGACAGATTTTTGGAGAGATGAGGGAGGTAACCTTGCTAGAGCTCCAGTGGGGACGTTCAGGGGGCCCAGGGGGCACTGGGCTAGGACTCCACTAAGGAACAGCCTGGGATAGGGGTCTGTGTTGGGGGTTGAAGGGCCTGGATTGAAGCTCCAATGATGAGCAGATTGTGTGGGAGACCATGGTGGGGAGCATCTGGGCTACACTGGGATTCCGTCGGGGGTACATGGGCCCCTTGGCCAGTCTGTTCTGGAGCCTGACCCCACTGAGGGGAGCCCCCCACCTCCTCTTCTGGATGGCTCCTGGCTCCTTCATCATACCCTTTTGCTCCTGCCCTGCAGACCGGGAGAGGGGCCGGACTCTGCTCTCTGCCAGGTCCAGGAGCCCCTCCAGCCAGCTGCCCAACATGGATGAGAGGGTGCAGACCTGGGAGAGCCGAAGGCCCCTGATTCAGGACCTGGCCCGGAGGCTGCTGACTGACGACGAGGTGCTGGCTGTCACCCGCCACTGTTCCCGGGTGAGCCTCCAGCCCGTCCCCAGCCCTAGTACATGGTCACTCAGTCTCCCAACCCTTCATTCATTCAGGCCAGTATCTATTGACCAGTATCTGGGCTTGACACTGTGAGGCCAGTGTTAAGTAAAAGCAGAAGTTACCCCTGTAACTCGTGAGTGCACACAGACACACAGACACATGGACACACAGACACACACACGCTGAGCTCACAGCCAGGAAGGGAAGATAGACAGTAACTAAAACCTAAGCACCCATACTGACAAATCATGTGAAGTGCTGTGAGGAAAAAGAACATGAGAAAAACACCTAAGAGGCACAAAGCAGATGGCGTGGTCTGGGAGGGCTTCCCTGAGGAGGTGATATTTAAGCTGAGGGGAGAAGGAGCCAGACCAGACAGGTGATGAGTTCGGGACTTGAGTCCCTGCAGTCACCTGCTCTGTTCTCTGTTCTCTTCTAAACCCAGGCTTCCCCACCCCTCATGCCTCCTTCCACTCCTGGGTCAGCCAACAGGTCTGGCCTCATGCCAAGCGCCCTCCCCTGTTACCCAAGTCAGTAATCTTTTGTCCTCCCAACATACCCCAAGCCTCCTCCAACACCTGCGCTGTTGCTCTCTGTTTCGTTCAACTTCAGACAGAAGCAGAGGGCCCCACGGTGGGGTAGAGGGTAGATCTGAGGGAGTCTTTGTAGCCTGGGTGTTGGGGAGGCTGCAGGAGGCACAGGCCACGCCCTCCAGGAGGATTGGAAGGCCCTCTCCTATCCCTCTGTCTCAAGAACCTGCAGGTTTCCTGTGATGGGTTCCTTGTGCTCGATCTGCATCAGTGTACGTGTGATCCTGTATACCAGAGCAAGCTGAGGAGTTTCAGGAGATTGTTTGTGGTTCCCCCGACTCCCTCACCTTGGTCACGGTGGGGCTGTGTTGTCTGTGCGACATGTGCATTTGTTAATCTCTGGGGTACCTGAGTTTGTGTTGACTTAACTGTACGGTTGTATCTGTGTGTATGTCACCTGGAGACTGAGGCACACTAATTCATGCATCCTTTTTCCAATGCTTGGTTTACAGCAGAGCTACATATGGGGGTGCATCTGGGGGGCAGCTGAAGGCCTCTGGGCTAAACTCAGTTGAGTGTCACGCTCAGCTCTGAGCGCCAAGTAGGGCTGTGCGAACCAAGCCTTTGTGAGCCTGCAACTCTAGGTCCTGGACACTAGGTGGAGCTCTATGCCAGTTTCTTTGGTAGGCTCCTGTTCCTCCACCCCTCTGCTCCTCCCACCCTGCCCAGGCCAGGAGGGCCTCTCTCTGTGCCCCAGAGCACCTAGGGAGCAATGCCTACCACCCAAGCCTGACCCAAGCCCCACCCACACCAAGAGATCAGACCCTCGGGGTGGAGTCCTGGCTGGAATGATTAGTAAAGCTCCGCTAGTGACTTGGATGTGTGGTTCGCGAACCCCAAGCCTCCCTTCTGTCTCCCCCTCTGAGCCATCTCCCCACAGCCGCCAGACCAGGTATTATAAACCACCTCTCTGATCACTTTACACTCCCCAAGCCCCCTTGCAGCCTCATATCTTTGGCACAATAGAGTACAAGTTCCTTATCCTCACATTCAAGGCCCTGCCTGATTTGATTCCCCAATTCACTAACCTCTGCTTTCCCATGGTCACCACATCATATCCTCTTACCTTGGTATAACATATAACACTGGTTTATACAGCCTACGAATTGCACAACTCTAGGGGCACTACTCACACTGTAGTCACAAACTGTACAGCCTATGTGGAGGCCCTCCACGTACCCCATGTTCCAGTTCAACCTCTATCTACCCATTATTCCACACTACCCTTTCCTGCCAACTATCATGCTGTTTCCCTGCATTTATCCTTAAGAGTCAGTGTAAAGGCCATCTCCCCCATGCAGCCTCCTTTGATCTTCCCACCCTCCTCTGAGACTCCCTCTGCCCCATCGCCAGTGGTCTGTAGTTTACTGGAGCATGCGGCTCTCTGTCGTTGTGTCCCCACTGCCCAGTACAGGACCAGGCACTTAGTGGATGCTGAACACAGGTTTGTGGACTTGAAGTGTGTGCACATATGTGACTGGTTCTGTGCAGTTGCGTGTATCTCTCTCCAGACAAAAGGGGGTGTATTGTCCCTATTTGTAAGTGTGGGTCCCTGTAATTTTGTGTGTGGTTTAGGGCCACACACACAGTTGAATTTCCAGATATTTATGAATGTCTCATTCTGGCCACCAGGGTGTGCTGTTTCCCTGTGTCTGTGCACGCCCGGGATGCTCTGTGTGTGTCCCGGAATCAGTATGTGTGTCCCTCACGGCACTAGGGGGCAGTGTGCCGTCCAAGTCCGGTGGCTCCCAGTATACAGTTTGCCAGTTTGTCTGCGTTGGTGGGGTGTGGCTGGTGGCATACGGGCAGTGCCAGGCAGAAAGGCCTCCACCACCCTGGGTACTGACTGGAGAGGCTTTCTGTAGGGCCACCCCTTCCCCAGAGTCCCCATTCCAGCCTTGAACAAAGCCTAATTTGTAGGTCTGTGCAGACACAGGCTGGGACAGCCAGGCGCACAGCCTAGACTTTGGCTCAAATTCCTTCCTTCAGCCCGGGAGGTGGGGTGGGGAGGAGAGTCCACGCCCTGCATATCCTTTTCCGGTACCACAGCAGGCAGGAGCCAGAGCTCTCAGGTTCCAGTCCCTCTTCACACTTCCTCATCTGTGTGGCCTGGGGCAAAGTCCTTCTCTCTGAGCCTCAGTTCCCTCATCTGTGAAACGGGAATAATTGACGTCTCTCTCAGTGGTTGCTAAATGAGGGACCATGTGTACGAGGCCTAGAAAAAGGCCCAAAGCTGTTGTTGTTATTGCTGTTACAGCTGTCATTATTATTGCAGGCTTCCACCCAGTCACCAAGATAAGACAGCCCGGGGGTGGGGAGAACCTCTCCAAAACGTGGGGTCCCTCCATGGCCAGGCATGCCCCCTCACCGGGCTCTGGAAGTCCCCGCTGCTATCTGACCTGTGGTGCCTCTCTCTGCAGTACGTGCATGAGGGCGGCGTGGAGGACCTGGTGAGGCCCCTGCTGGCCATTCTGGACAGGCCTGCGAAGCTGCTGCTGCTGAGGGACATCAGGTGGTGAGGGCTTGGGGGCAGGAAGGGGATCCCCGATACCTCCCCTAACCTCTCCAGGGCTGAAGTCCCTCCGGGCACCTCCAGAACTGAGCCCTGACCACACCTCTTCTCTTGCCCGCCCCCAGGGGTGTGGTGGCCCCCACAGACCTGGGTCGCTTCGACAGCATGGTGATGCCTGTGGAGCTGGAGGCTTTTGAGGCCCTCAAGAGCCAGGCAGGTCAGCAGCCAGGGGGCAGGACTGTGGATCCCGAGCCGCAGGTGGGGCTGGGGGCGTGGCCTCCCAGTGGAGAGGGGCAGAGATTGCCTGGGCCCTTTCAGCTGGGCCCATCAGGGAGCCTTGTCCCTGACCTGCTCTCCTCTCCAAGCAGTTTGGCCTCCTGCCTTGCGACCAGCCCGGCAGGACACACCACCCAAGCGTCACCTCATCACTCCTGTGCCTGGTCAGTCAGAGTCCCAGAGCCTGGGGAGGGGGCACACCCTAGGGGGGCTGGGGGAGGGAGAGTGAACCTTCCATCCTTGTCCCCATGTGGGCTGTTGCAGCTTCAGAGGTGTGTGTGTTTCCCTGAAGGAAATCCCTCGTCTGCCAGAACCATTTTCATCATGTCCACTCACCATCTGTACTATTATTTACTTAACAATTAAAAAATTTTTTTTAATTAATTAATTTTATTTTTGGCTGTATTGGGTCTTCGTTGCTGCATGCGGGCTTTCTTTAGTTGCGGCGAGGGGGGGCTGCTCTTCATTGTGGTGTGAGAGCTTCTCATCGTCATGGCTTCTCTTGTTGTGGAGCACGGGCTCTAGGAGCACGGGCTTTAGTAGTTGGTGGCTCGCGGGCTCAGTAGTTGTGGCTCATGGGCTCTAGAGCGCAGGCTCAGTAGTTGTGGCTCGCGGGCTTAGCTCCTCCAAGGCACGTGTGATCTTCCCGGACCAGGGCTCAAACCTGTGTCCCCTGCATTGGCAGGCGGATTCTTAACCGCTGCGCCACCAGGGAAGCCCCTTAATAATTGGGTTTTAAATCCACTCACTTTTTAAATCATCTCATTGTATGCAATAACTTCTGAGAAATTACCAGCTTGGTGTGGGAGTCATATATTTACTTGCTATTGTAATAGTTACTTAAATAAAACTGTAACTATGACAATAGAAAGTTTTAAAATACTATTGCAATAGAACCTGGGCACGCTGCCACAGGGCCTGAGCAAACCCAGGCCTGGGTCTCCCTACACCAACAAAGGCAAGGACTGGGGTCTGGTAAGGTGGTCTGGGCTGTTGAGGAGAAGGCGGCCTGACCTTGGCCCTCTTCCCCAGACAGTCGTGGAGGCTTCTACCTACTTCCTGTGAACGGCTTCTCAGAGGAGGAAGATGATGGGGAGCTGAGGGAGCGTCTGGGGGGCCTCCAGGTCTCCCTGGGTGCCTCTGCCTCCCGCCACCCTCATAAAGGGATCCCCCCTCTCCAGGATGTGCCAGTAGATGCCTTCATCTCACGCAGAAGCGCCTGCACACCCCCTCCCCAGCCACCCCCCGTGGCTCCCCGGCCCCCGAGGCCTAACTGGCTGCTGACAGAACCCTTGACCTTAGAGGGCCCTCGGCAGAGCCGGAGCCAGGGCCCAAGCCAGAGCCGCAGCCGCAGCCGGGGCAGAGGCAAGTCCCCCGGACGCAGGCGTTCCCCATCCCCGACACCTATCCCCACTCCCAGCACAGCCAGCGGGTGCTACCACAAGCCTCGGAAGGCCAGGCCTCCTCTGCCACGACCTACGGATGGGCAGGTGGCCAAGGCAGGGGGCAGTCAAGGACCCTCTGAGAACAGAACTGGTGGGACAGCCGAGGAGGCCGCCACGAAAGTCCCCAGTGGGGAGCTGAGGACCGTCACACTATCCAAGACGAAGCAGTCCTTGGGTGAGTCCGGGCGGGACTGCGCCTGCTTGGGGCGGGGGCTCTTGGGTGTGGGTGAGGTTGGTGGGCGTGGTTTCGGGGTATAACTAGGGGACCTGGGACTAGG